CACGACACGGTACAATGGTTAAAGCTCACATTATTAGAAGCGACACGAATTAGTAGTATTGGAACATTCGGATATATGGAAGAAGATGACATCGAAGAATTTGTTCATAGATACACAGTTGAAGTATCCAGTGATGGAAGTGACTCCTACTGTCGTCTACATGCTCCTCGACAAGGAGATCCTGCTTATCTACCAACTAACTGCGAACCTAAAGATTATCCCAGTTTGCTTGACGAGGGTTTCAATATCGAGGAGGTATGACATTTGGTTTATAGTATTCTGTATTGAAGTTTAATCAGTCAGCGTAACTTGCTCATTCTTGCACAGGATTACCGTCGATTTCATATAATTAATATATTATGCACATTTTGTAAATATACAAAGTTGAATGATTTTATTGCCATGAGCACTATTCACATAATAACGCATATCACAAAACGCTGGATAGAACAATGACTTCGTTGGACTGAATATGATTTCGTATATGTATTTATGTTAATCCCCAGTTTTTTCACACAACAGTAGATAGTACAAGTGGCTAAGCTGAAGGGAAAGTAGTACTATGCCGTCGCAATGGGGAGTCAATCACTGGAGTCGAACCAGTAATTTCCCTGTTGCGAAAATACACGTTTAACTGTTAAGTCACTCATAAAGTATATCTGAATTTTTGATCAACAGAATGAAGTAATAGTTCGTATTTAATGTAATTAATTCCACAGATGTTTCCTGGAAACACCGATGCTACCACTGAAAAAAGAAATGCTTTGGACGAGAACATTGGCGAAATTTATGTAATGATGATAACATTTACAGGAAGTGATGATAGTTATACCAACAAACCGACAATGATTGTTATACTGTATACATGTGTGGAAGGTAATTTGCTCATATAAATAGCATAATTTTGTAAAATGCATCTCTTTCAGTCGAAAAGTATTTCTTGTTCGTCTCACGATTGTAAAGACATTTTTCCCTTACCAATAAAACAGATGTGGTGCAATTGTCCATAGGAGTGTATAATAATTCGATGATACACTATTTTCTAACATTTCTCCCCACGTGTAATGCTGACCGGAAAATATGACCTCAAACAAATTATATATGATAGTTATGTCAAACATGCCAAGGGTAAAAGATCCATTATCCGTTGTGATATTTTAACAATTAAAATGGTGATCTCAACGTGTTCTCTGTTTAGAACGCTTTTTGGTGAATTACTGATTTTTTTTTCAGTGACAACGACAGAAGCCGCCACCCACGAAGTAACTTCTATTATACCAACCACCACATCATTGTCTACAAGCAAACCAGTCTCGACAACTACATATACAACTGTAATAACGACTGAGAAAACAACGCCCGAAGGCACCACAACCACACGTGTCATGACAAGTAAGACATACGTCTTACTCTCTTTATATTTTATATTTATTCATCTATAATAATTATTGAAATGCACTTGAAACAAGCTTTTTAAAAAATTATGTAATCTTCAAAATTAGCTGCGATATTATTCACAATTAGTGTAGGTAATTCATGTTCTTAATAGCCTCAGATCCGAAATCTTAGTTAGGAATCCGTTTTTAACACAAGTTATCTTTATGTTGGTTATGTATGTACGTATAGTAACGTTAATGGTTTGTTTTATTTGTAAAATACATTTCGGGTCATTTCAGCGTGAAGCATTGTACTTGTATCATGTGCAATTGAAATTGGTGTTATTATGGAAATGTTGCATCAACACACTCGTATTATACACCGCATTAATTAGTGTGTGAATGTAGTGTGTGAATGTAGTGTGTGAATGAATGTAATAACGCTGAGATAAAGGTTTTCATATACACACCGCTTGTAATGCGGAAATCACTTAAGTTATGTCATGTTAAAAACAACAGGCAAAAGTATTATTAATTGAATATTTCTTCTTCGTAACGAATACACACAAATGCTGATATATGATACTCATTTAAATATTTAGATATATAAATATTGCAAATGATCACAAAAACTATATTATCAAATCACCAAATTGTTGACACAGAATAATTATTGGTATAACCAGTGAGTTTCATATCAATAGTAATTAAATTTTACATTTATTAAGTGTGTTTGATTACAACAAAATAAAAAAGACAAACTATATGTCATAGTCTAAATATGTGGTGCTCTTGTTTTCGTTTTGTAAACAGGTACACCAAGTGGATCACCATCACCACCTTGGTCTACAACTTTGTTCACGTCATCGGGTATGTCAACGTGTGTGAATTATATGACGACGATTTAAACTAAATACACATTCGGTTGTCATGGTGATCGTTGTCTAAATGTGTATTGATTAGTTTTTTTTTATATTTCTTCCAGTATCACCATACACTACTGTTTCGTCTTCATGGGCTTCCACGACACAACAGAGTACAACAAATCCACCAATAACACCAGGTAAGACAAGTTTAGGAAACCTACTTCAGTAATATTTAGTAGTGAACGTCCTTTAACGCACTCGATAACATTGATTAAATGTAAATACTCATTCTAATATTCTATTCAATATTTTGTTTACATTTTTAGAGACAACAACACAATGTAAGTAACAAACATTAGTGTCGAAAACCGCTAATACAGTATTTACGTTTAGTTTTTTTTAATCATACATGTCTAGCAACATAATTTATATTTCGTTGCAGTCTGTGCACCACCATTTGAGTACAGGAACTGTGGATGTGACCTACATTGTCAAGATATGGCATTGGATCCGAATAAACAATGTGAATTATGTCAACCCGGATGTTATTGTCCTGCTGGCATGATTCTAGAAGGAAATCAGTGTATTGAAATAGTCGATTGTCCTTGTTATTATGATTCTCAATTGTATAAGGTAACTCCAATGACATACTTCCCACCAATCCTCATTAATATAACATTGCACATGACTTTGGTGACCGGTGAATCTAACTGCCACATACAGCGATGTACGACAATTTTAAGAATGATTGCTGTTAATTATTAATGTCCTAAAATACTAGGACATATTTTAGAATCAATCTTTCTTGGTACATTACTGTAACATTTCTTCTTCGCAGTTTGGTGACATGGTTGTGATTGATGAATGTCATAGTAGTATGTGCGCCATTCATACTGTACGCATTGAAGAGGAAGCCTTCACATATTGCAACCTCGATTGTGGACCTGGCAAACAGCTTGTAGAATATGGGGAGGAAGAATGTTGTTACTGTATTCAAGGCAAGAATTGTAACGTTTTTCATGTTTCATTGCATATAATAATTGTTGGAGACATAATTATATATTTCTGAATATGAGTATTTTTATTCGACAACAGAATGCCAACATGGCCAGGTATTTATGGAACAGTGTGCTTGTCTGAGGACATGTTCAGATCCAGCGATTGAGTGTCAGATCACGACGTGCCAACCCGGGTGTGCTTGTCCACAGGACATGTTCTGGGACGGGATGGAATGTGTTGATACATGTACATGTGAACACAATGGCGTAAGAATGAGGTACCGGTTTATATTTAACTAATGACACTTTCTTTTCAACGCAAGTAAGATTTAAGCTTTGCGAATTTCAAAAGTCCTTTCGCGTCTCAAAAATTATTGGACATGAAGAAAACCTGATCATCTACCGTCTATTATATAATTATAAGTTGTGTTTGTGGTGAAGGATATGTTGATTTCGTCCATGGGTTACATGAAATACTTCCGTTAACATTTTCTCACTATATTCGTACTATAATCTATTTTCAACAATCTATTCTCAACAAAAGATTGGCGAACAGTGGATTCCAGACGAATGTACTATCTGCACTGCAAGATGGTCAAGCACAGCAGAGTGCTATACAGATTGTGGTGAACATTGCCAGAAAATCTGTGGCCCGGTAAATATATGTCATTATCGAGATTCAAACAAACAATTTCATGCAAAACAACAGTCATACAAATATCGGTAGTTCACTTTATATTGTGCATTGTGTTTTTTTACTACTATGATGTAGTGTCTCAGGGTACACGAGTTAAATAACATGTAGGAGTAAATCACTCATCTTATTACCCCTACTCATTATTTATTTTATTTAGGACGAAGAACTCATCAACGAAGGGGCCGACGATGGTATATGTTGTGAATGTGTGCCCATAGGTATGGTATACTAGTCTAAGCGGTTCCAGAACGGTCAGGCAATGTTTACTTAACATATAAGGGTAGCTTGTCAAAAACCAATTTCGAGTTCTTCACTCAACTAATTGATCACATGTTTAAACTATGCGTTCAATTATATTGTTTTTTATTCACGTAGATCGATGCCATAAACAGGGACAATCACAACTTGACTATATTGCGGTTAGTATTTTTTTGTTTTGTTAAATGTATATAATTAGTTATATAATACTGTACTGTAATAATATAAACGTAATAACCCTTTGTTGTAAACAAAATATCGTTCTCTAACTGGACACCATATTCTGAACTGAGAACAACATCCCATAGCTGAGTATACTATTCTCAACACAACATTCCACGAGAATAACCCTGTCGCCAAGCAAACACAGTCAGTACGTGATACATTGTGAGCATACAAACACTGAATTGAAGTAACAACATGTACAATCTATAACAGGTCGGAGACGTATGGACTGTTGACGAATGTGAAAGGTGCGAATGCCTTGAAGCTGGAAATATGAAATGTACAGTGACACAGTGTGCAGACCCACCATGTGCTTATGTAAGTACATTTTCTATCTGCCATTACGAACAGCATTTCAGTCAAAAGTCATGGTGGGATATCTCCTAACGAAATAAAATTAATGTGCAAGAGCAAAGCGTTAATGAGGGTTGGGAAAAAGATGATCAAGGAACATGTGCCTTCGACGTGGCCTGGAGCGACATCGACAACTTCTGTTTGTGGGCGTTCCATAAATAAACCTGGATGCCTATTCTTTGCAAACGACTATAAGGCACCTCATGCATATAAAAGTTCAGTGTATTTAACGATTGTGATATTATATTACATTCCGTACACTTACTTTCACAGGGCGAAGAAGCGTATATGGTGGAAGGCGTGTGCTGCCCTCTTTGTTGTAAGTTATATATAATTGCACAATATAACTTATTGAAAATATATACGTAATGCATATAACGGGTGTTATATTTCATCTTAGACTAGTAAACAAACCTACCAAAGTGTGCTGTGCTTTAATCATTAGTTATTATGCATCAATTATAATAAGCAGTTATGTGATTAAGAATATATTATTGTACTTATTGTAGCCCATGTATCAACTGAGTTGCCGAAAACAACGATACACACATCTACTGTGATGGCTTGTAATGAGTTTGACTGTGGTGATGGTCAGTGTATTCCAATAGAATATGAATGTGATGGACAACGAAATTGTCTAAATGGCCACGACGAGGAATGCAGTACGTACCACAGTTAACATGACCTAGTTAATATAGTTTCCGTACATATAATTATACTACAGAATTCAATATCGAAACACATATATATTTTATATATTTTAAAACAAAACGTCGTAGTTGGATAACTAAGATTGTGTAATATTTTCTCATCCCACAGCGACACCATTCACATCAACAAGTGAGTAATTTGCAAATATCCAACTATAACACTACTATAGTCAAAATTGATGGATACATACATTTATTTCTATTCATGTAGTATACTAGCATACAATACAGGCATCATAGTATTGTGTTTAGTAGTAATTTAGTAATTCTACTCATTATTTTAATGTATCGATAGCGCCTGTGTGTGGTCTAGAGTGTGACTGTTTTATCAGTTGTATTGGATCGTTGAGTGGCCAGTGTTACCCGGTGTCATCATGTTCATTTTGCGAGTGTGGTTTTGGTAAAGAATCTGCCTTTGGATTCTGTCTTGTGCGAGAGGAGTGTGCAACGACTGCTCCAGTGACTTCGGCAATGCTGTCCAGCACTGCACCAGGTAATCAGAATAATGAATTCTATTAAATATTAGTCTATTCTCAAACTTTTGTTTTCATAGGAATCATTATGATAATAACACATCGAAAGTTGTGATCATGCCTGGTGTTTTTACACGTGTTATTATTTTCTAAAACTAGTGACTAGTCGTTTACCAACATAATATACATGGGTGTTAGGGTCACTGGGAATTAAACCTTTTAACAACAACCAAAGTATCATTATTTTCCCCAGAGGCTATAATTAAACACTTTATATAGATATCCTCAAACAGATTACCAGAAATTACGGCATTATTCATTACACATGCAACTATAAACTGACCAATTGGGCAATATTTTGTTTCATTGAATAGATTGCAATGTCTTCCTATCTTGTGAACAACAGAATGGTTTAACAAGTAACCCGCCCTTTGAACCACTTGGTGCTTGCTTATTCCATGATGGCTGTGACAGTGGCATTCAAGACAGATTCGGTACAGGACTGAGGGATCTGATTGGCCGGGAATGGAATACAAATATGTGTGTTACTATTGAAACTAATTGTCCAGTGTCTGCCTGCCAACATATTGATGGATCATTATATCCTGTAAGTTATCATTTCATTTCTAACTACAGATATATTTGCAAGATTATAATTTCCCAAACAAGATATTTATTCTTCCCTAAAGGTTTGCTGATTTAGCCACCTCAAGTAATTAATCAAAACAATACACAAACAATAAAAAAACAATGCATTTCATTAAAGAATATTGATTTAAACTAACCTGATGTCAGACTCGTTTACCTGTCTTAACTTGTATCACTAGTAACAGTTAATAGTAATTATATACACAACGTTAGTATCACGACCTCTCAACTCATCTCAATTTTCAGGAGGGGTATGTTATGGACGTTGATTGTCAAACATGTACATGTACATTGATGGATAGTGCAAACTACCAATTTGACTGGAATTGCGTAAAAGACGATTCTCCAGAATGCAATGAAGGTAAACTGATGAAATCGAATATAGTCTAATTGAATTTGTGTATATTTCAATCTATACTTCAGACATTTATCTAGATTGTTTTATTGTGAGATGTTTCTGATACCATTTCCACATGTGTATTTACTAATATTTTTAACCGAACGCATAAAATTAGTTTCACTTGATTTGTTTCCAAAAATTAACCAGTACGAATTGTATCACAGTTTCCTGTTTTAGGAACGACTGTGTCTATTCCCCATCATGTGGAGAATACAGACTTGGATCTTCTATCCCAAACGATGCATTAATGTTGGTGTTCGACAATGGATGCTGGGAACCTGATGAGTGCGCATGCCCACCCAATACACACCTTGACAGCTCAGATGGTGGTGTAGTACTATGGGACAGTCAATTGTGTATAGTCCACCCTACCAATTGCCAAGTTGGCTGTGTCTATGGAAATGAACTAATTGAGGTAAGCTTGCCAATTTTCACATTAATATTCTTGTGTAATTTATCGAGGTAATATTTACATTCATGTCTTTCGATCTGCAGATTTTGATAGTTATATATCATATATGTTAAATTTATTATGTAATTCTTCTTTTGCGTATAATTAATAATGGCGTTTAATTCTTGGCTTGAAAAAAATAAGCAAAACATCCCAACTTGATAATCAGTTATAATTCAACAGGATACCTTTTATGGCATGCAACTGAAATATTGCTAGTTAAATTACTGGGATGACTAGTTTATTCATGTCAGCTAAAAGAAGATATATTTATGTGCGTATTATTGTCGTACCACGTATTAGTTAGCCATTAATTTGCATTTATTCAGGTGAACTCCGTAATAAATCCAAGCAAATGTGATGAATGCATTTGTGTGGAACACTATGTGAACGGTGATTACAGTTACGAATTGGTTTGTAATAATGTATGTTCTACAACACCTGGCCTCACTACAAGCACCTCTGTGATCAGTACAACGCCAGTGTGCTCGGTTAGTATAATCATCATATTCAGAGATATGTTCGGAAATATACGTGTTTAATCGTCTTAATACATGTGAAATATAAATGACATTGTAATCAATTATCATAAATATTTTCATTGTCAGAGCGACGATTTCATTACCCATGCTGATGACTGTACTCGATGCTTCTGTGATGTGAACACAGGCCAATACACTGAATGTGAAGCTTATTGTCCGATAATGCAATGTAATGAGGTAGGTTGACATAGTTCATCATTTGTTGCGATACATTCCGTGTTGATTGACTTATGTTATATATTGGTTGTTAGTTAGTTGTTGGATGGATGTAGCAATTAATTAATTGGGTGCAATTATGGTGTTTCTTGGAGGGGAGGGCCTTTTACTGTTGTGTCGTATGTTTCTATATTCATATATAGATTGAAGTACTGCCCAAATAGTGAAATAATTATGAATAATTTAGATGAAACTGTTTTTACGCTATCGATATTATTGCTTATTTATTTGACTAAATTCTTTATATGTCTTCTTCTGATATTACTCGGCAATGCGTAGATATATTCATTTAGTAGTGAAAAATAAACATTCAATATAAATGTCGTTGGCAAATAAGTGCATCAAAGGAGACACATATATGACGTGATCGCATGATCGCCGTGTCATTGCATGTCATT